CAGGAGCATGTAGGACGTACCCTTTAAGAAATACAACATATCCAAATCAAAAGTGATAATTCCGCCGGGAAGGGGTTAAATTTTGGTGTCAAAGTCATTGACTTGAGGTGCGATGTTTGATGGGGTAAGCCACCAACCCAACCAGACCCAACTAAATATATATATTTTCACCCAGGCAACGGAGCGGTGCAAAGCGGTGCAAGATCAACAAAGTAAATAAAAATAGCAAAACATATAAGAAAACTGAAAGGCTTCATTCTGGAGTGATTTTAAACACAGAAAAACAAACATTCACACCAGATCAGATCCTGTCAAGTTTCACACAAAGACACTGAATGAAGGAAATATATATATATTCAATGCACAAGACAGACCAAGCATCGACATGGAACATCAATTATTTATCCACTGTGAATCATACCTCATTATCATATGCCGCCGGTGCAAGCACGCTGTGTGGCCAACAGAGATTGAACGGCATCTGAAAGGCAAGGCCCATCAGCTAAAGCATGCGGTGGTTCAGCAGATAAAGGAGAATATAAACTGATGATCTGAGCCACAATGTAGATCTTGACACATTGTAGTGGAAGCAAAGATCACATTGAAGAAAGTGAGATCAATCATATGATCTGCTACATGAATTAAAACCTCTATCTTTCCCACAAAGTCCATCCCATGTTCACTGACTTGCCCATCAGCTAAAGCATGCGGTGGTTCAGCAGATAAAGGAGAACATTGAACAGTGGGACAATGTGGCTCGAGATACTACACAGTTAACACTGCCCACATACTACACAGTTAACACTGCCCACAATACTGAATGAACCAATCCCGGAACTACCCATTCAAGATGGCTACAGGTGCCAGCGGGATCCCCAGTGCCAGTATGTGGCAGGGAACATGAACACCATGCGCAAGCACTGGCAGAACAAGCACAGCTGGTCGCCATATCCCAGCCGTGGCCGTACAGCGCCACAAAAGCGTACGGCAGCACAGGATGAGGTGGACAGATCATGCCAGAAGGTGCAGTTCCAGCAGATATTTGCATCGCGCAAGGGCTCCCACTACATACAGATCCAGACTAAGGAGACTACTGAGCATACCGGCACGCCAGACCAGAACAGAGCCAGCCAGGCCATTGATGAGCTGGAGCGATTTTACCAGGAACAGCAACGGCAGACCAGCAATGTCATCCAGGCCGGGGAGCACGATGAAGCCAACCCATGGCTGCGGCGGACCAGATGGCCGGTGTACTTGACCAACATCGCACCCAATGATCTGGTCAACTGCGTCCAGCGGCCCGACGATGACACCACGTGCCCAGATGAACTGGCCGCGAGGGCCATCTGGGAGGCCATGGGTCAGGTTGCCCGTACCAGCCAGCGAGTCATCACACGGCTGGGCCACTTCGTCCGCATCGAGGCCATCCGCACAGAGCGACACCAGACCCGGCACACCCCGTTGCAGGCGTACATGGACGAGGAGAGCATCGCCGAGCACGTGAGGCCATGGCAGCAGATGTTGATGTTTTTCGCCCGAACGCAGGTCGAGCATGAATGGACGAGCCCACAGTACCGGTTCACACCACGGCAGCGCAAGACATGGAGGGTATTATGGCAGGTAGCCACCACAGAGGGAGCCGACCAGCGACACTCCATCAGCCCAGACCCCATGGATGAGCAGATGACTGAGGAAGAAGAAGAGGAGGAGGAGAAGGGACAGAGAGATACCCAGCCAGAAGAAGAAGATAAGTTCAAATTAACCAAGATGCAGATGGGCATGTTTGGATTTTTGCATTGAGCTGCTGAACCAGTGGGTTCAGATGGAGGATTATGAGTGCGCGCTGATAGACACGTTGGCGGTGCTGGGACGGGGGGAGTATGGATGGTGCGACGCGAAGAGCTACCCACCAATATTGTCACGGATCAAGAAGAAGATAAGTTCAAATTAACCAAGATGCAGATGGCATGTTTGGATTTTTGCATTGAGCTGCTGAACCAGCGGGTTCAGGTGGAGGATTATGAGTGCGCGCTGGTAGACGCGTTGGCGGTGCTGGGACGGGGGGAGTATGGATGGTGCGACGCGGAGAGCTACCCACCAATGTTGTCACGGATCATCAAGGTGGCACGGTTCATGGTGGTGCACAAGGCGCTGCGACTGGACGCCAATGCATCCGACATGCTGGCCAGGAACCAAGCAAGCCAGATGGTGGGAGAGTGGGCCGTGGTGAACGCCATGAAGGAGGCGGATTACACGTTCACAGGCAATCAGAATGAAGGGTAATCAGTGAAGACATCAGAGGCATCCCATCAACAATCAGACAGACATTCCACAAACAGAATGTCCCATCAAGGCCGGTTCATCATCACACATCAGCAGCGAGGGCAGAGGGCATTGATGGATGAGGAGGTTTTAGTGGAAGAGGCGCAGAGGTGGAAGGATCAGTGTGTGATATGTGCAAATGGCAAGCGGGAGTTTGACCATGAGCTGTACCAGTGTCCCCACGAGGAGAGCCAGGAGGCAAAGAGATGGATGATGACAGTGCGGAGCAAGATCAAATACACACAGTATTCCGGGTGCTTCCGATGCGGGATGCCGCAGTCCATATGCAACAGCTGGAAGACACAGAGGCAGTGTCCGTACAGGGGATTTTTGATCCCGACAGTGGCAATGATGATGTATGGGTGTCATGCAGGGCAGATGAAGCAGGCGTGGAGACAGCGGCTGAGAGAGTTCAATGTGGATGCAGATGATCAGGAGGCGGTGATTGAATTTTTGGGACAGAAGGTTGAGGGGCAGGGCATGGAGCACAACCGGCTGGTGGAGATGGTTTGTTGGCTGCGAGGGATATATCAGGAGGCAGAGAGGGGGAAGATCGAGTTAGAGGGTACAGAGGTCAAGTGATATCATGGGTGAGGGGCACATCACGGGTGAGAGGCACCACAGGAGGATGAAAGATGTATATATATATAAAGGCAGGTGAAGCAAGAGACAGAGGGTAGGGTTACAAAGAGTGAGGGTAGAGGCTGGGGGGAAGGATGAGGTGGTCAGAGTCAGGGTTAGGGTTGACAAAGAGTGAGGCTAGAGACAGGGGTGGGCAGTGAGGTCAGAATAGATGGTTAAATTGAGCACAAACCCGTTAACCCATTGGAAGTCAAACCCGTTGGACCCAAACCCGTTGGCCGTCGAACCCGTTGGATGAGCGCATTAACCCGTTGGAAGTCGAACACGCTGGACCCAACCCGTTGGACGTCGAACCCGTTGGACCCAACCCGTTGGACGTCAAACCCGTTGGACGTCAAACCCGTTGGACGTCAAATCCGTCCCAGGAGCGCATTAACCCGTTGGACGTCAAACCCGTCCCAGGAGCGCATTAACCCGTTGGAAGTCGAACACGCTGGACCCAACCCGTTGGACGTCAAACCCGTCCAAGGAGCGCATTAGCCCATTGGACCCGAACCCGTTGGATGAACCCATCAACCCTATCCAACAGGTGGGGGTGGAATGGACGTCCATTCCATTTAGGGTTAGAAAACCTTAGAAAACCGACCAATCAGAGCAGGGCAGATTGGACGTACATTCCATTTGGTTTCAGACGTTGAACGTCCAATCAACCACGGAGTCAATTGACTTCAAACTTTGCATGTAGGCCGTAGTGGATATGAAATACAACATATCCAAATCAAAAGCGATAATTCCGCCGGGAAGGGGTTACATTGTGGTGTCAAAGTCAATGAGTTGAGGTGCGATGTTTGATGGGGTAAGCCATCAACCCAACCAGACCCAACTAAATATCTATATTTTCACCCAGGCAACGGAGCGGTGCAAAGCGGTGCAAGATCAACAAAGTAAATTAAAATAGCAAAATATATAAAAAAAATGAAAGGCTTCATTCTGGAGTGATTTTAAGCACAGAAAAACAAACATTAGTCGAACACGCTGGACCCAAACCCGTTGGACGTCAAACCCGTCCAAGGAGCCCATTCACCCATTGGACCCGAACCCGTTGGATGAACCCATCAACCTGTTGGAAGTCGAGCACGCTGGACGATTATATCAGAAGGTAGAGGGGGGGGTTCAAAAATATTGGAGTTTTAAAGAGCATTATCCCATACAATAATGGGCCAGGGTTAGGGTTACAAAGAGTGAGGGTAGAGGCTGGGGGGGAGGATGAGGTGGTCAGAGTCAGGGTTAGAGTGAGGGGTGTTCAGGGGTCGAACCCGTTGAACCAAACCCGGTCAACCCCGATGGACCCAAACCTAGAGGGGAAGAAACCAATTAAAAAGCTAAAACCCGCTTGGACATGCCCGTTTGAAGGTTAAAAGGGTTAAGGGTTAAACTATCCAAAGTTCTACTTAAGTGCATGGGTCCGACGCGCCCCCGTCGCGATTTTCTCTCGTCCTGAATTGGGCAGCCCTTGGAGTGATCCCCTCCTCCCGCCTCCGACGGGCCTCCAGTGGGGGCCACGGTCATAGGC